ATCTCCACTGCCTATACTTGTGGCAGATACCAGACAGCAGTATCCACCTCTGCTGCAGATGCTCATTGAAAACATGAAAATACCATACACAGAGACAACCAGGTCCTGTGGGGAAATAGGGACAGAATGGCCACTCTCTCTAGTGGAGAGTACCCCATATCCATTCCCAAGCAGATTTTTATTGAGAATACAGACTTAGTTTGTGGATTCACAGTCTGGCAGAAAAGATAAAAAGAAGTAGGTGACTTACAAAGGTGCAGACAGAATCCCCGCTGTGATTCTGGGCAGAGGTTTGGGGTTTTAACATATGGCTCAAAGGGCTATTTTTGGTTTCCTGCTTCTGCCTCCCTATTCTAATTTAATAACAGCCTCCAGCAAACAGATCTCACAGGATCTTGCATGTTTTATGTCCCAGGCCTGATTACCCTGGGGGTCCGCTGTTTCTGGTCTTGGCTGTACTGACCCTGCTATTTCCACAGGCCTGAGTCAACAGAGGCAAAGGCAGCCAGGAGACTTGGATTTCTTACTTCTAAGAACAAGGACTCAGGCTTTGACAAAGTCGAGGGGGCAGGGGTTGATGGCCATCACCCCTTCATTTCCACAGCCCTGAGTCTCTTCTTAGAGGCCTCCTCATGATCATGCCTGTCTTAGACAATTCCCTCCATGGGAAATCTTACCTGTCACTGGCTAACTGATCAAGCTTGGGAGGTTAGGCACAGAACAGGCAGCGTTCATGCCAGGGAAATAAGTTTTTGTCTCCTTAGTGGCTCCTGGTCTGGAGGTCTCTCACTCAGCCTAAGTCACGGGGGAGTTACAGCTTCCTGAGACCAGGCAGGGTGGTCCCCAACATCTACTGATCTCTGCCAGGATGAGGAGGGTGGAGGGATGGGGGTAAGTTCATGATTTCACAGCCTCAATGTACAATTTAAGGCATCTCAGTAATCTCTACCTGGCTCTTTTAGGGAAGCAAAGTGAAATTCAGGCAGCCCCACCCTACTGCCAGTAACAGCTGTGGGCACCAGTGCCCTGTAGAAGGCTTCTCAGCTTTATTTACTGGGATCTGTCAGGATGGGTAAAGCTATGGAGGCAAGTGTGTCTCTACCTCTCTTGCATTAATGGCTGTCAGAGTTGCTCTATTGTTTTAAGCTTCCCAGCCATCTCTGGGGTGGGGGTAGGGTGGGGGTTCTGCTGCAATGAGGAGAGGGGAAAGGAGATGCCTTTTCTCAGGAACCACTGTCTTTGCCTCTCTTTCTTTCCAGGCTCAAATGCGAGTACTGCAGCCAGATTCCTCCACTGCTGCCCTCACTGGAGCCTTGGTGAACTGCATCTGCAGTGACTGTCCTAATCCTTCTGCCTGTCAACCTCTGCTGCTCATTTCAATCTGTCCACCTTCAGATATTCTTTTTTTCTTTTTAAAATTGTTTTATTGTTGTTCAAGTACAGTTTTCTACATTTACCCCCCACTCCCTGTCCCCCACTCCAGCCATCCTCACCTCCCTTTCCTGATTCTCCCCCTTGGTTTCATCCATGAGTCCTTTATAGTTGTTCCAGAAAACCCTTCCCACCTTTCCCTCTGGTTACTGTCAGATTGTTCTTAATTTCAATGTCTCTGGTTATATTTTGCTTGCTTGTTTGTTTTGTTGATTAGGTTCCACTTAAAGGTGAGACCATATAGTATTTGTCTTTCACTGCATGGCTTATTTCATGTACCATAAGGCTCTCCAGTTCCATTCTGATGGGTGGATCTTTCAGACATCTTTGTGTATTGAGCAGGGGATCCTTTGTTGAGTTGTAATTGTCTTAGTTGTCATTTTAAGAGGAGAAACAATGGAGTCTTCTTACTCCACCATGATGCTGACATCTCCCACTGAGTAATTGTGCTTTTTATCTGAAAACAAGCTTTTATTATTTTGGATTATTTAATTTTCCCAGATTTAATCTCCATTTTGAAAATTAAAAAATGCTTTTCTATCATGAAGTAGTTCATATTTACTATAAAAAATTAGATAATGAAATAGACACTATTAGCATTTTGATGAATGCTTCTAGGTTTTTGGTTTATTATATTTTTATATTTGATGCATGTGTGTATATGTATATATTTGTGTATATATATCATTTATATATATAATGAAAGGTCTCACTAGAATTCTCTTATTACCTCCTTTACAATTTAATAGTGTAGCATATTTATATAAATAAACAGATATCCTTTTAAATGATAACATAATAGTCTCTTGGATTTCATTTAAAATACAAATAGGAGTTCTTATTTATTTTCACTGAGTTTATTGGGATGACATTGGTTCACAAAACCATATAGATTTTAAGCATAAAACTTTACAAAACATCATCTGCATACTGCATGGTGTACCTATCACCCAAATCAAAGTCTCTTTTCATCCACATTCTTGGTTTGCATGATATCAATGCAATCTGGCAGCCAACAAGAGCAGACTGAAATATGTATGCATGAACAATGATGACTTCACTATACTATTCACTTGGGTTGGTAGACAATGTTGAGTGAGCATGTGTACTGCGTGGCTGTCACATTCAAAATGACTGAACAAGTAGAGCAACCAATCTGCATCAAATTTTGCGTTGAGCTTGAACATTCCTCCATGGAAACTATTTGGATGATTCAGAGGTCTGCAGCTATGGGCAACTGGTGATTGGCAGCTTCATTACAACATCGCACTTGCTCATGCATCACATATTCTGCAGAGTTTTTTGGTAAAACATCAAATCACCCAGTTGACCCAGCCCCACTACAGACCAGATTTGGTGCCCTGAGACTTCTGATTTTTCCCAAAACTAAAATCACCTTTGAAAGGGAAGAGATTTCAGACTTTCAGTGAGATTCAGGATAATACAAAGCAGCAGCTGATGGTGATTAGGAGAGTTGTGTGAGGTCCCAAGGTGCCTACTTTGAAGGGGACTGAGGCATCCTTGTCCTTTCTACAATGTGTTTTTATCTTGTATCTTCTTCAGTAAATGTCTCTATTTTTCATATTACATGGCTGTAAACTTTCTGGAAAAACCTCACTGTATGTTTTGTTTTGTTTTGTTTTTGCTTAATCCCTTCACCTTCTTTCTTCAAGTCCCCCAACTCCCACCCCTCTGACAGCTGTTAGTCTGTTCCATGCCTCTGTTTCTATTTTTTCCATCAGTTTATGTTGTTCATTATTTTCCACATATAAGTGAGATCATGTGGTATTTTTCTTTCTCTGACATGTTTATTTCACTTGGACTCACAATCTTTAGGTCCATCAGTGCTATCATAAAAGGTAAGGTTTTCTTTTTTATGGCAGAGCAGTGTTCCATTGAGTAAATGCATCATAGTTTTTTTATCCACTCATCTACTGATGGGCACTTGGGCTGCTTCCAGATCTTGATTATTGTAAATAATGTGGCATGAACATAGGGGTGCATATATTCTTTTAAATTAGTGTTTTGGGTTTCTTAGGTTATATTTCCAGAAGTGGGATCACTGGGTCAAAAGCTAGTTCCATTAAAAAAAATTCAGAAAACTTCATACTGTTCCCCATGTGGCTCCACAAATCTGCATTTTTACCAACAGTACACTATGGTTCCCTTTTCTTCACATCTTTACCAACACTTGTTTGTTGATTTATTGATGGTAGCCATTCTGACAGGTGTGAGGTGGCATGTCATTGTAATTTTAATTTGTATTTCTCTGATGATTAGTGACATTGAGCACTTTTTCATATACCTCTGGGTCCTCTCTATATCTTCTTTGGAGAAGTGTCTATGCAGGTCCTTTGCCCATTTTTCAATTGAGTTGTTTGGGTTTTTTTGTTGTTGTTTTTCTTTATTTAGTGTTGAATTGTATAAGTTCTTTATATATGAAATATAAATAGGAGTTTTTAAAGCATTATTTCCTTTTATAGAAAGGAAGACATTTGCTATGATTCTGCAGAATGATCTTCTTTTGTGAAGTACCGTATATCTTTATATGTATCTAGTGGTTGTTCTTCCTATTTATTCATATTTACAACAGATGGTTTGTGTTTGCTATGTTGGAATTTGAGAAGGGTTCTGTCATATATTGTGTAAACTCCTTTTCAATTATCTTGGTCATAGCATATTTGATAGGTAAGTGGTCCATGTGTAGTAAGGACAGGCTACTGGTGTGACAGCTACATGGCAGGAAGGTCTCTCTTTTTCTGAGGTCATTTGCTCTCTCTGTGTGGGAACAGTGGTAGACCCAGAGCTCCAGATGTTGCTGTGCTGTGAAGAAAGAGCACCCAGGCCAGTGGAGTTTATTAGTGAGTCAAGTGGGCCAATGGAGTTTATTAGTGAGTCAGGTAACTGGATTTTCCCCCTCTCATATTTGTTGTAACACTTTATGTTTGGTGTGTCTCCTGTTACTTGGAGCAAATCCTCTTTATAGCACCCTTTCCCCATATCTTTGCTTTGGTTAATATGCCACTTCACCAGGTGGAGGCTGAGGATCAACATAACAGATGGCTGCCTTGTATGTGTGTGGCATTGATAGAATTCTGTTAATCCTAGTATATGTATTTGATCGGCTGTCTCAGTTCTTGGTTGTTGGTATTTTTCCTCCCGTCCTCCCAAGGCTTTGGCCTTGATACTCCAGATTTGTAGGAGAATGTTACTCATTTGCTCCTTCAGAGGGCTCCTTCTTTGCTGTGCTTAGCTGCAAACTAGTAGGTGCCTCCTTTGACATAATCCTCCCTGTGCCATTTCTAACAGAAGTCTCTCAAAGTGTTTGGATACTGGTGGAATCCTTCTCTGTTTAGTACAAATTGATTAGAATGAAAACTCTCCTAATTGTTTATTTCTTAGATCATGCCAATAGGTTTTGGTGAGGGAGGAATTTAAATTCATGGACTCAAATAATGCTTTTAGAAAGAAACTCCAATGCCATCCTCTATTGGCCAAAGACACAAATGGATTTATATATAGGAAATGCTTTCAGGAAATCTGGAAGTATGTTTCTGTTTTTGTAACAGATGATTCAACACGTGTTCCTCTTGGAGAAAACAAGGACTACATTAATGCCAGTTATATTAAAATAACCAATTCTGGAGAAGAATATTTTTATATCGCTACCCAAGGACCACTGCCAGATACCACAGATGACTTTTGGCAAATGGTTTTGGAAAATAACTCTAATGTTATTGTCATGATAACCAGAGAGATAGAAGATGGAATTACCAAATGCCACCGTTACTGGCCCATTTCCAATAAGAAGCCTTTGGAATTGAAAAACTGTCAAATCTTCCTGGAGAACTACCAGATACTTCAATATTTCATCATTCGAATACTTAAAGTTGTGAGGAAGTCTGTAAGTTTTGTAAAAGCAGTATGAGATACATATTTCATTATATGAGCACATGTGTCAGGATGATAAATTAGGAGTACGATAAGATATAGATTGGGAATACTTTTTAAATAACTTATTTTTAATTCTCTCTGGTACCAGAAACAAAGACACCACCACTTATACTTGTGCTTAACCAAACTCTGTCTGGAGAGAGGAAAAAATGAAAAGGGGAGATGGGGCAAGGAGGGCAAGTATTGGAAGTTACCTAATCCTAGGGGGTACTTTGGCTGCTTCTGCCTAGTGAGACAGATAGTTTTGAATTCTTAAGTTGTGCTAATCAGTGTGCCAGGCACTGTTACTGCTTACTGAGTGGAGAGTTTGGTATGTTCACCGATCATTCCTTCTAAGGAACTGTGCTTAGTAGTAATATTGAGATCTGTATGGAAGGTTTGGGGGCTTGGAAGGGAAGTACTTAGCATTATTTGGAGTTTTGGGGAAGGTTCGCTGGAGGAGGTAACATCTGAATTAAGAATTTTCCAAATAATAAAGATGGAAAGGGTAAGTAGATGAAGCTAAGAGGTATAAAACTCAGAAGGAAGAGGGAGTTTATTTAAGGAGAAGAAATAGTGCACTGGAAACAGGAGTGGACAGCAAGCAGTAGATAACCCAATCTCTGTGCTCTGTGGTACTTGGGCAAAGGAGAACAGGTAACCTTGATCAAAGAGGCCCTCAGAGAGTAAAGTGCCTATGAGAGACAAGGCAAGGAACTGGAAGAAATATTTAGGGAGGTGACTAGGGTTTCCAAGAGATTACTGTGGGATGGGGAACTTGAGTGCAAAAGGAGAAGTTGAAGAGCTAGAGTAGAAAAGGATGGGAAAAGATAAACTTGAGGAGTATGAGGGGGTCAGAGTCCAGACTGAGGAGCATGTGAGTCAAGAATAATAATGGCTGACATAGATACAGAACTTACTGGCTATGTGCTAGGCACTGTGCTTGCTCTGTGTACCTGGGGATTTGCCTCATTCCACATTTTCCTAATACCTGATGATTCCTTCCTATTAACCAGGTATTATGTCAGGTGCTGAAGATATGAAACAGACACAGTCTCAGCTCTTAGAGTGCCTACAGTCTAGTGTGGAAGGAAGACACCAAGCACATCAATTCCAAATGCCATGTGATACATGCTATGGCAGCAGGACAGTATGCTTGGAGAATATAGGCCAGGTGGGAGGAACAGATGAATGATCTCTCTGCAAAGACCCAAATTCTGGGGTCCATTTATGGAGTATTGGCAAAGGGGTGTAGGACAGCAGCCTTCAGGCTGAGGCCCACAAGTTTCAGAACCATGTGACTCAGGTTTGGAGAATCTGCATCAGGGGTTCTGTCTTCATGGCATAGGGTCAGGAAAGTGGTGAAGTGAGGCCCACCTTTTTGCAGACTCTTAATGTCAACAGTAGCAGGAGAGATTTAATCCCTGAAATATGTGATAGGGTGAGAGTTATCCTAAACTTCATGCCTTCACAGGATTTTCAAGTATTGTTTTCATCACTAAGTTTAATGTACTAATGATTCAGACTTGAGTTTTCTATTTCAAACTTAGGGAAAAAAGATGCATTGAGGGGAGCAGAAGAGTGATAAATCCATCCTCAGTTTTTCCAGAAGGGTCCTCAGTGAAATAAAATAAGGACTTCAAGTGGGAAAAGTGTGATCCCTTTGGAAGGAATGATGGGTAAACTCCAAATGTTTTATCTGTCAACCTTGAGAAGAGTTTTATGACTCTACTTCCAGGGGGCTCAGCATGAGATTGGTGGCCACAGTCCACTCACATGGCCATGAACCACCCTATCCTCATTGCCAGAGAAGATTGGTGCCCCCAGTCAAGCAACTTGATAGAACTTACCTGTTTTAATTATATTTAGCATTATAATACTTAAGCTAAGATAGATGGATTCTTGTTTTTTTTTCTGAAGCCTCATGGTGCAGAAGGAAGATAGTCAATTTGGGTTCAGGAGGCCTGAATGACAATCCCAGCTCTAAACATGTGAGCCTCCTGACCTAGCATACATTTCTCAATCACTCTAATCCTTACCTTTTTAGCTGTAAAATGAGAATGAAATGCACAAAGTGCCACCTCCTAGGATTGACGTGAGAATTAGGAGATAATACATGTGAAGTTCCTAGCACAATACTGAGAACATAAATGTTCGTGTTACCTGTTAGTGTTCATATTTTTTATTGTGTTACCATATAGCCATTATTATCATTATTACTGGTATATTAGAAATTGAAATGAGATTCTAATATAAAAGGTTGATAAATCTCTCTTCTCTCTCCCCCACTTCCTTCTCTCTCACTCTCTTTCCCTCTGTCTTCCTTACTAAACAGACAGGAACGAGTCACTTTGTAAAACAGTTGCAGTTCACCAACTGGCCAGACCATGGCACTCCTGCCTCAGTAGATGGTTTTATCAAATATGTTCGTTTTGTGAGGAAGAGTCACCTTACAGGACCCATCATTGTTCACTGCAGTGCTGGTGTGGGCCGGACGGGGGTGTTCCTATGTGTGGATGTTGTGTTCTGTGCCATTGAAAAGAACTTTTCAGTAAGTGTGTGAATTAAGCAGATAAACCCACGTTAGTAAACACTCTACTTTTAACAGAATTCTTATAGCTGAAGACCAATATTTTTGGCCTTCAAGAGCAACTTAGTATATAGATGTGAGCTTTGGGTACCTGCTTCCTATTTAACTGCTGCAAGTTCCTGGAGATGGATGTGAGGGTTAAGTACATAATGTGAATGAATGGCTTAGTACACAGTAAATGTGAGTTCATTTTCCTTTTTCTGCCCTCCACTCCACAGATATGGTTTTTATAATCCTGTTAGAGAATGTCAATGAAGTGTACATACTTTTAATGAACAGAAATACATGGATGTGAACACACTGAAAAAATGTAGACTTCAGAGTTAATAAGAGGTTCTCTGGGTTGGACTGCCAGTTTTACCACATACTGTAGATTTTTAGTGACTTTGCAAATTGTTCATCCTCTCTGAAACCAAGTTTTCTCATATGTAAAATAAGGATATTAATGTTGTGTTTGAATCCATTTTTAGCAATTCTTTGCTCTCCTCTTAATTTAGAACCAGCTAAGAGATAGACATAAGAATTAGACATATGGTGATTATACTAATACCTTTATTATTGGTTAAACTGAGTAAGGAATATGAATTTAGATCTGTGGTCAAAAAATTGTTTCCTGTGCTGCAGAATAAGGAGGTACTGGGGAAAAAGTGGGTCATGTCATAAATAACTACAAGGAATATGAAAATGCCCAGCTCAGCCATGAGAAAACAGGGGCTATGTGGCATTTTCCCTGGTAGACAAATTCTGCAGACTTCTGTTGTCAGAACAAATGTCAGACTCTCCTAACTGAGACTTTATGTAGTTACACCCACACAGTAACAGGATCTCCCTGTGGCAGCAAATGGCTGCATGGGTTCTATGGAACTCACCATCCTCAGGCCATATTATGTGGGATGGTAGCCAAATGACCTCTCCCAGTAACTTCTGAAGGATAGAGGGAATTTCCTTCTTTTCAGAATCTTGAGCCCAGTGTTTCCTAACATTTCACTGTATTCCACTCAGTTATAGTCCTTCACTGAACTAGTCACTGTGAGAGATTCTGGTCAATGTAGGCCAATGAGGACTACTCCAGGCCATATGGCAAAGAAAATGAGAGAGAATGGTTTTCCAGAGCAAATTTAGGGCTCTATGACAAAGAATAAATATAAAATGTCTGGCCCAAAATAAAGACAAATACTATCAAAAATGCTAAACATTTGAGTCTGATGTTATCTATTCCTATAACAAATTTCATTAGTATAATTTTTATATGTTGTTCATCATAATTTCTTAAGTAGTTTGTTTATATTAATATTTACCTTTATTTTATATCCCTTGTAGGAACTGTATTCATGACCCTAAGGAGCACTGTTTTTTTCCCATGTTATGCTTTCTTTAAACTCTAATGTGTTTTATAGCAAGTCATCTGAGAGTTTGACAGTGGTTTTTTTGGGAGGTGCATAAAAGTATGCATTTTATAATCAAGGATTCTTAGTTTTATGAAATATAGTGGTTCAAAAATAGGCAGCACATCCATCATTTCCTTATTGGCTTTCCAATAGAGTCTTAAACTGTCAAATATTCTTACTAATGTCCCTCTCTAGAAATTTTGTAGAGCTACTAGAGCTACTCAAAATGTGGTCTCAGATCAGCATCAGTCTGTGGATGTTTGTTATCTGCGGCAACATAAGTTTATAGAAATTGAGAGTAAGCATTTGGAAACACTCAAGGCAGTTTGATGCATTGCCATACCATCCAAGAGCAAGCCCAGTGTTTTGGTGGTGTCGAGCAGCCATAGACCAGTGTGCATGATGTTGAACTCACATGGGGAAGTCTCACATGCTGTAAGCTACTCACCAGCCTAATTATGATTCTAAAGGATATGAAAATCTGAAAATATGTAACCACCTATTTCTTTTCATTGTTATTTTTATAGCCATTTTCATTTTTTAACCAAGGCTGCTTAAAAATCCCTGAACCTTTGGAAATGTTAAGATTTCTCATTCTACACAGAACTTTCCCTTCTCACCATCTGCAGCTTACAGTAACAGTTGTTAACTGTCAATTACCATATGATCACATCATGAATTGACTGATCCAAATTCTTACTATACCACTCACTAAGCACACCATTTAGTTTATCAAGCAGGTATGTTTACTTTTTTTAAGTCTCTGTAACTACCTGCAACTGTTTTCCAGTCTTTGAAGCTCTACTACCAGTACATAATTGTACACAAAATTAAAACTTCAAATGACATTTGTTGACAATGCATAGTTAGTGCTTTGCATTTTATACTGTTTAGAATTAGTAGTGTCTGTCAGTAATCAAACTGCAAAAAGGAATTATTCCTTTGTATTTCATCATGTTCAAATCACATATATACTGAAAGAATCACTATGTAAGCAATACCTATGGTTCATTAAGTTTCAATAGTAAATAAATTGCTACTTTTGTTTCATAAATTAGTACCACTCCATTCCATTAAACAGTCCCTGAATTCATCAAGCTGGGGTGTCATTAGAAAATGGTATTTTAGTGCTAGACTTCTGGTCAAGATGGAGGCATAGGTATATACCCATTGCTTCCTCACACAACCAAAAGAAGGACAACAATAAATTTAGAAACAAAATATAACCAGAGCTGCCAGAAAATTGAACTGTATGGCAGTCTGACAAGCAAGGAGTTAAAGAAGAAATATTTATCCAAACTGGTAGGAGGGGCAGAGATGGGCAGCAGGGGTGGGAGAAGATGAACAGCAAGGCACAGCTGGAGGATCCAGGTGGGTGAGGCAGTGGCTGGTGGACTGGGTAGTCCCACATTTGTGTGTGGATAGACTGGGAGGAACAACTGGGGAGTGAGACAGACTGTGCAACCTGGGGTTTCAGTACAGGAAAAGAAAATCTCAAAACCTCTGGCTATAAAAATCTTTCAGGGTTGAAAATTCAGGAGACACTTCCAGCCTCACAGGAGAGTTCATTGGAGAGACCACAGGGTCCTAGAACATACACACACCCACCCACCCAGGAATCAGCACCAGAACAGCCTGATTTGCTTGTGGGTGGTGTGGAAAGTGACTGAAAGTGAGGCAAGAACCAAATAAGTAGCATTGTTCCCTCTGTGAATCCCTTCCCCAAATATAGCACCACAACACAGCAATGTGGGTTGCCCTGCCCTGGTGAATACCTAAGGCTCCACCCGTTATGACAGGAGCTCCAAAGCAAAGAACTATGGCCCAAATGAGAGAACAGATCAAAACTCCTGAAAAACATCTAAGTAATGAAGAGCTAGCCAACATCTCAGATGCAGATTTCAAAGCACTGGTAATCAGGGTGCTCACAGAAATGGTTGAGTATGGTCACAAAGTAGAGGAAAAAGTGAAGGCTATGCAAAGTGAAATAAAAGAAAATGTACAGGGACCCAACAATGAAGGGTAGGAAACAAAGACTCACATAATGATTTGGAGCAGAAGGAAGAAATAAATATTCAATCAGAACAGAATGAAGAAACAAGAATTCAAAAAATTGACAGGCTTAGGAACCTCAGGAAAAACTTTAAATGTTCCAACATCCAAATTATAGGGGTGCCAGGAAGAGAAGAGGAAAAGCAAGAAATTGAAAACTTATTTCAAAAAACAATGAAAGAGAAATTTCCCAATCTGGCAAAGGAAATAGACCTCCAGGAAGTCCACAAAGATCAGGGTCTTAAAGAAGCTGGACTCTAAGAGAAACACACCAAGACACATCATCATGAAGTTACCCAAGATTAAAGATAAGGAGAGAATCCTAAAAGCAGCTAGAGAAAAGGAGACAGTTACCTGTAAAGGAGTTCCCATAAGACTATAAGCTGATTTCTCCAAAGAAACCTTACAGGCAAGAAGGGGCTAGAAAGAAGTATTCAAAGTCATGGAAGGCAAGGACCTACATCCAAGATTGCTCTATCCAGCAAAGCTATCATTTAGAATGAAAGGGCAGATAAAGTGCTCCCCAGATAAGATCAAGTTAAAGTAGTTTATCATTGCCAAGCCCTTATTATGTGAAATGTTAAAGAGACTTACCTAAGAAAAATAAAATGATCAAAACTATGAACAGTAAAATGATAACAAACTCACAACTATTAACAACCAAACCTAAAAAACAAAAACAAAAAAAAAACAGAAATAAGCTAAACAAACAACTAGAACAGGAACAGAATCACAGAAATGGAGATCACATGGAGGGTTGTCAGTGGGGAGGAAGAGGAGCTATAGTGGGACAAAAGGTATAGGGAATAGGAAGCATAAATGGTAGGTACAAAATAGACAGAGGGAGGTTAAGAATAGTATAGGTAATGGAGAAGCAAAAGAACTTGTATGTATGACCCATGGAAATGAACTAAGGGTTGCAGTGGCATGGGGCGTGTGCTGGTGGGAGGGAAGGTTGCAGGGCATAGAGGAATAAAGGAGAGAAAAAAATGGGACAACTGCAATAGCATAATCAATAAATTTACTTTAAAAAAAGAAAATGGTACTTGAACTCTTTTTAGCCACATACAGTGGTGGGAAAAATAAGTTAATAATAATAATACAGTAATCAATAAATAATAATACAGGAACAACTCTATTTTTTAGACTCACAACTGTGAACCTACTTTGCTCATCCCTGTATTTACTCAGCATTTTCAAGAAAACAATACAGTGTTCTACCATTGTCTTGGCAATTGTACATGGGTTTTTAGTCTTAGCAATTCAAAGTGATGTTTTGTAAGTCTCTAGTAGATTAATGCTATTTGAAATATTGAACATCAGTTTCTGTTGGGTTTTTAATTTAGCATTCTTTAAAATAATCCTTTGGTCTTTGAAATTATTTTTTACGTACATGACAAGTAACATTAATGGTTGGTTTCCTTTGTTAGCTAGTACATCTTTGCAGTTCACACAGGTGTGGTTTTAGCAATTCACAGTCAATAATGGCTATACGCTTCAAAAAATGGTATTGGGAGATCT